TGTTCGTGCATGATGTTCGTTGTAGGTGGTTTCATATGTAAATTAGTTGTCAATAAGATGAACATATTTGAATCTTCATGTCATTATTAGATGAAGATCAATTTGAGATATTGTAGGATTTGTAACTCCCAATTAAAATATTTGGGAGTTACATAAGAATGACTAATGACCTAAATACCCTTATCATTAATATGTAAGTTACATTTTAACCAAACCCAAAGATGCAACATTATTGGTTGATGTGGGTTAGCAAAGTTTGCACAAAATATTGAGTTAATATTTGAACCACCCTCTATATATATAATGTATATGTATAGGTAAAGATTCAAACGAGAATACATTCACAAATTAGAATCCTAAAAAGCTGAAACATCCGCAAATTCATTTTTCTTGTTGATTTCTTCTGTCAATACATTTCCCTACATAATTGGAATTCATTCATTGGACTAATTTTCAAAAGAAAAATATTTTTTTATCCCGACAGCGATGTTAAAACGTATGTTGAAATAGAGAACATAAGAGAGAAAATGTGAAAGTCTTCAGATTGAGAGAAATCTTTATAGTTCTTCATAAGAGATATAACTGATATTTTATTTTTTCTCACCAATAAGAGATATTTAAAATAAATTTTTGCGAGAGATAAATAATATTTTATTAAATGAACTGAATTTTTAATATCATAGTTAATGATAGAACTGATTAATAGAGTAGTTGTTAGAGTTTAATATAATTTTTTTTGCAGAGATTTTGACTTTTGATACTTTATTTTAGAAAAGGCTATAACATAGCTGTATAGATGTCATTTCGTCTCCAATGGGGGGACACCAAATTTGGTCTAGTGAATAGTAACATACCAATTTTGGTGTATTACTATTTATTTATACCAAGTTTTACGTCAGTAGAAAAAGATAAAAAGAAATATACCAATAAATCTTACGGGTATTTGATTCACATAATGAAATTTGATTGAATTGAAATCCTTCAGAGGAATTTGATTTTGAAATTCATTATCTCTCATAAATATGGAGTTTTAGAGATTTCTCCAAAATTTGGAGCTCTCTCTTCTTTTCTCTATTTTAACATACAAAATAACTATTGTAGCAAAAAAACTGTTAAAATCTCACTTTCTCCATTATAGCATAGACGTTGGAGATGCTCTTAGAAGAGAGAAACAATATTTTATTAAATGTATTGAATATTTTAATAACATGGTTAATGATAAAATTGCTAAAATATAGTAGCTATTGAAGTTTAATATAAATTTTTATAAAGATTTTAATTTTACATACTTTATTTTAAAAATATTTTAACATAGCTATTGAAGATACTCTTGTCCACATAAAAACAGAAAACAGGTCAAACACACAATTCAATTATTTTGTTATTGATTTATTATATGGTTTGAGATATGTTGATTGGATACTCAAACACATTGTTTTTTAAATAATGTAACATCATTTATAAAAATAATCAATTATTGACAAATGGTGATGTCCACAATTTCACACATTTAGAAGGTGTTTGGGATTGCTTATTTGAAACAACTTATGCTTTTCTATAAAAACATTTATCAATTTATTATAAGTCAGAAGTGTTTAACTTCTTCAAAAACTTTTTATTACCGGTTTGACACCGGTATAAGTTGTTTATCCAAACACTCAAAAATGCTTATTAGCTCTGTCACACCGGAATTAGTCAATAAATTATTTTTATAAGCAATCTCAAACACCCCTTTAAATGGTAATCTTGTAAAATGAAAAATATGTAATTTTTTTAATGAATTAAACATTTTTTTAAATAAATAAATTTTTGTATTATTTGAAATCAAATAAAGTGGTCCTTAGACCTATAAAAACGACTCAGTTATTATGGTCAAAAATCAAGGAGAAAAATCTGAATATCCGATATGTTTTCATAATTTAAACGGTTGATTTTTTTTGGACATTTATTTTCAATAAATAAATCTTTGCATTTATTGAGATCGAACAAAATAGTCTTTTTAACCTATAAAAATGAATAGAAAACCAAATTGAGAAAAAGGAAGGTTTTGTGATGATTTTGAAGTATTTTATACTGATCTCTCAAAAATTTCAATCTAAGTTAAGTACAAGTTTTTGTACAAAAACGTAACCTAATATTCTTCTAAAAAGAAATTTTTTACATAAAAAAAGATGACAACCGGACATGGGCGGAACTACCCGAAAGGTAAAAGGTTCCGGTTCAACCACTGGAATATCTTGGTGAAAGGTGAACCAAGGGTTTATGTTAAAAAAACACATACTTTCATCTCTAAGTTTAACTCAAATGTAGCTCAGTGGAATATTTATGTTCAAAATCCCGATTTAAGTAGTCATTTATTTGGTACCTCCCAAAGAGCAGGAACTGCCATTTTAGCCAACAGTTCATCACGGAAGGACTCACTAAGTCAGGAGGAGATCTCTCGAAAAGTAATTAGTGCGCATTTCAGTACTTTTTTCTTTTCTACTGCAATTTCTGAATTATTATCGGTGGAAGAATTGAGATTTTTTTCTAATAGGAGATAAGGGTATTTTTCTTTGACGATATAAAATTCGTCCACCGGGGGAAGCCCACTAATTTGACTCTCGAAACAAAATAAATATTTTTTTTGACTTTTCACAGGTCTTGACCTAAGAAGAAGACTCGTAGGTGATAATGTATATATCATTTTTGATGAGACTGTATTTTTTTGGTGATTATTGTTGTATACTGATATGTTCTAGTATTTTTTTTGTGATAGCACTCAAAATAATTACTGGACCTGCCTCTGGAAGGAGAGGAATCTTGAGTGAGTTCTTTAGGGCCGTTTACCAAACGTTTACTTGGAAACTGAATAAATTTCTTTATCATGAACATGACAAGGGCCAAGAACCTTACCGAGTAAGAGCGACGAAAAGGATGGAGAGTCTTACCCGATAAGTGAAGATTACGACTCTTACCCAGATAAGAGCTTATCCGATAAATTGTTGTATTCAATATGTTTTGATATACTAAAATCTTACTCATCAAAATAATTTATAGTGTTGACTTCTATAAATAAGTACTTACCGGGTAAGCATTTAGGTAAACAACCTCTGACGATAAATATGAGTTTCTTCTCCAAAATAAAATAAAATGTGTTTTATATATTTATTTAATATTATTGAATAGGTCCTTCAACAATGCCATAAATGCTCTGCTACCCTTTTAGAATAGCAAATTTTCATTTGTAACCCCTCTATGATTCTTTCAACCACAAACTTTCCAATATAGTCGCTTTTCGTCCCTTACAAGTCCGAAATGTTTCACTTTAATCCAACAAAGCGAATAAAACAAGTTAGAACGTGTCTGGTCAAGATTGATGAATTATCTAATATATTTCAACAATTTTTATTCCCCTATTTGTACATATCTGGTAGAGGGGCACATTCAATCCCGCCTCTCTATTACTTCTATAAGAACGGCATGTTTCAAGGTGTGAAGTGAAAGAGAAGGATGTCATAACTGACAGTAAAAATCACAATTATGTGTCTTTACAGTTAAAGAGAATAAAAAATGGCATGAAAATAGTCGTATCTATCTCACGACTCGCCTGCTTCTTGACCACTCTCACTCTCAGTGGGTCCCATAACTTCTTATATATTCCTCTGTTAGTGGGATAGACACATCTTTTGATATATATTTTGTAAATGGGATATCAACATCTTTTGTATATTTTGTAACGGGTTGGGCACAACTACTATGTATAATTTATTATTTAGAGAGAAGTAACGAGCCAGAAGATCTGTAATGATTTTGTGTGACAATTTCCACAAATTTATTTTTTATAGTCAAATGATGTCATTATTTCAAAAAACTCCAAGTGCACCTCTAATGCACATTGGTTTTTGTTATGGACTTTACGACTCGCGTTGTTTTCATTGATCAACCATATGATGTCTATGTATACTTTCGGTCTTACAAGCTCCATATAACATTCTACAACACATGACCAGAAAGGGTATGAAAATGGTCATTTAAATCGTTCAACCGATGTGAAGATTTTGTGTCGTAGTCTTGGAATCTCTATGATTATATGGTCTCTTCTTTCTAATCATTTTGCGTGACAGACCTAACCTCAATTGATGTACTCAATTGAAGTTAGGTCTGTCCCTTTTGTTGTTCTCATAAAGATATCAAATCAAATCAAATAAAATCAGTAAAAATCATATGGAGTAGGGTCCTGAAAGGGTAGAATGTATACAAATCTAGTCTCTATCCCAAGGAAGTAGATAAGTTGTTTCCATGAATATCCCTGACTTGTCGTTGGAGTAAAAATCTTTGCATGAATATGAAAACAACATTCACGAATTCCAGATGACCTTCGAATAATTCGTTTGAATAAATGAACATATTAGCAACAAAAGTTGATTCATTTGTGAATTTCTAATTAAAAGAAAGAAACAGAATATATTGAAGCTAGGAGATGAGGGCATTCGAAATTTTAAAGAAATGATGCAAACCGAAGGTTTAGCTCGGAAGGTCACAATCGCCATGGAGATTTCTTCCGTCATGCCGCCTTCATAGAATCCAAGCCGCACGAATGCTGTATCATACGGGATTAACAAAGTTTGTGAAAATGCATGGATACAATCGGGTAAATAATGCCTTAATTTTGATGATCAATGGAAATCGATAATTCGATATGGCTTACCAGAAACTTATGTATCTGAGCCAAAAGTGGTGAAAAGGATGCACAAAATTTGTCCATATCAGCATACACATCTCCTTTGCTTGCTATGACCTCCATGAACTTCTTCCTATCAGGGACCAACTTGATGGCAACCTACATGTGGAAGTTCATATATCACATTAGATACAATTAACACATTAACACGTGGAACCCCGCTAGATTACTCTCCAAAATAGTCATGCAAAAGAGAAGGGAGGTTCCAAGTTCCATTGTATATTGTGGAGAAATTTTCCAAGTCTAGCCAACATACCCTCTCCAACAGAGGCTAGACTGACACAGATTGTACAAGAGTGTCGAGTTGGCACCAAATGAGCACAAATTGTCCTAGAGTGGTAAACTTTAACTATAATACCATGTGATAATATGTGGAACCTTGTTAGATTACTCTCCAGAAGAGCCCTTGAGTAGAGAAGGGAGGTTCCTAATATTAAGTATAGTTGATGTGGGACTCCAACAGGTAACATGTAAAAGAGCCAACTTTCAACTCATCTGAATCGAGGCGAAATGATGAATACAGGTAAAACTTACTGTAAAACTTGAACTTGCTATCCAGCCATGCCATTTCTTCAAAGTCTTGCTGTAGGAGTCATTACAAGCTTGTTGCATTGACCAATCTTGATGTTGGTATAAGTTACGGAACAACTCCACCAAGAAATCCATTGCTCTGCAGAACCCATAGAGTTAAGTTCAAACTTTAAGGGAATCCAATGCTGATGAAACTATTTTTTCACTCAAGGTTTCCGTCATGGCAGCCCTATATATGTTATATAAACCTAACCTGTGGTGGATCCCGGGTGACAAAGTAAAAGCCTTTGATATAGATCATTCATTTTTGAGTTATTACGATTTTGCTCTTATTTGGATGAGAAATATTTGGTTGAGGACAAAACAAAAACTTGTTGTCCTGCATTTGGCGCAACACTAAGGGACAACTTTCATCTTACTTCTTCAAGGAGATAATTCTTAACCAATAGAGTTGGTTTTATGTTGCCAGACTATAACAGCATTTCATGCTTCCTCGTTCGCAAATGCATCATATTTATAGAGAAGAACAAAGCAGTTCGCAAATGCATCATATTTATAGAGAAGAACAAAGCAGTTAACATGCCTGTGATTTGTTAGTCTGAACAGGAGGACGACTGGTGTGTTTCAGTCTGCTTGTTTAATGTTCATGTTTAAAGTATACCAATTTTACAAAATAGGCCAGGGGATCGAGATTGGTCAAGCTTATATGTAAAGGAACCTGAACGAGCCACATTTAGTCCTAGCCATGTGATTAGTAGACAAAATCTGATGACACACACACATGCAATAAGTACCTTTATGTTAAAATCGTGTCAGAAGCTAGTACCTTGTCAACCAAAGAAGACCATTGGTACAACTCGATGAACTCTTTGCAGTTTTCGTCTCAACTTCAGCTTGTACCAGAGCATATAAGTAATTGAATCTAGTTGGGTTTCCAGTGTACTTAGAATCCAATCTCTACAAGTAAAACGAACACCCACATAATTCATGTAAACAGTAAAACGAGGAAGTTAATATATGAAGAGTAAGCAACAATGGAGTATCTGATGACAGATTCTGTTCATAAACTTGGAAAACAAAAACGTAATGGATTCAAGAAAGGATATGCATAGCTTAAGCTTACCGAGATATTTCCACTTATATCAGATTTCACAACAGCCATGGCAGCACCAAATTTATCTAGAATTAAAACGAACACATAAACCATAATATAAACTCATAGCTAAAATTCAGCTCATCGAGCATGGTCTTCTTTAGTCTGCAGAATCCTATAGAAACTCAGAGAAATTAATTTCGAGTTTATTGATCAGTTTTCAACCCACATTGAGTCTGTAGTTTTCTAGATAACAAAATTATAGTACAAGAACCCTAAAACGACACAGGATCGCACCTAGAATAGGCAGCAACATTTTGCAGACGTCCAAGAAGGGCTTAGTCAAGATTTCATCATGATCAGACTTGATTTTCTTCATTCCTTCTATCGCAGGTGTAAACACCGTCTCCTCCATATCTGATTAAATGCCTTAATTATCGCATGAAATTCAAATAATCTCAAGAACAAATTAACGGCAGCCCTAAAACACAATCTTCAATATATGCTAATTGGAAACAAGTTTCATCTTGATCAACTACTATATTTTATTCATAACAAAAAGAGAAGAAAATGCAGCCGAAAATCAACATGAATGATGAATTCAACGAGATTCATCTACATCCAACGTAAGAATGCATGTGATATATGAATGTAATCATGCTAAAAACACATCCTACCATCAAATTAACAAAAAATCTAACGAGGAAATCAACGGCGCTGAATGTATTATCAAGTAAACCTAAATTTATTCCTAAAATGAGGTCGGGATGAAGAAGAAGGTACGTACCTGATGTTGTAAGAATATGGATTATAGATGGAAAGGATGATGATGCAGGTTAGAGAGCTGAATTACCTAATTTACATACATATACGGCACTAATCAATGAAACAGAAATTATGCCTATTTTCTTATATCGGATTAATCAAAATTATTCCAACTTGAAACAATTTATGCTTTTTTTTTTTTTTTTATAAAAGTCTTTTATCAATTTATTATATATTAGATTGGTTTAATTTTTTTTAAAATTCTTTAATACCGGTTTGACACCGATATAAGTTGTTTATTCAAACACTCAAAAGTGTTTATTATCGGTATCACATCATAATAAGTCGATAAGTCATTTTTATAAACAATTCCAAACACCCCCTAAATCCCTGGTTACTAACCTTGTTAACAATTTCCGTTAGAATGAGGGCAGTTTAGTCTTTTTATCTATCTTCTTAAATATCTTTTAAAAAATATATATTATTTCTTAAATTATATATATTATATTTTTTAAATTTATATATTGTTTATACTATTATTATATGGTTCATAATAATATATAAATTAACAAACAATATATCAATTAATATATAAATTTAAAATATATAAAATTTATTTAATATATAAATTTTTTATAAAATATAATATATAAGTTAAGAAACATTAATAAATTATATATTGTTTTTTTAAAGGATGTTTAAGACCAGGTGAAAAGGCTAAAGTGTCCCTCATTCTAACGGAGATTTTTAACGGAGTTAGTGATTAGGGATTACTTTCATAGCAAAATGAGAACTACATGGACGATTTCTAAACTTATTAAAGTTCAAGTCCCACTTTTAAATATTACACTAAATCTCATGGACCAAAATTAGAGTTTACTCTCATGTTTATATGTTATATTTTGGAAAAGTTCAGTTGCAAACTTGATTTTGACAGTGAACACGACATGTTTCGCAACATAAATTATTTATTCCTTGATTTAGAGCATAAATTAAATTTGCAATTGAACACGTCTCCTGTATATAATATATATATATATATATATATATATAAAGAATGGTTTAAACGAGAACACATGTGATTTACATAAATAAAACACTTGTTAGTGTATCATTTTGTTTGAAGTTACAGTTTAAAAAAATGAGACATGATTAAAATATGAAATAAATATTTATCCCTTTTTAAGAATATCGAAGACATTCAGGGGTAAAATGGGAAAAAAAACTACGAATCACATAATGAACAAACAAAGATGATGATTGTGGATGTAATCATCACTGGTTTTTGATTTATCACGACAACACATCATAAGAAGTCTTCTATTTATCAAATAATTATCACAACAAAATCATGCCATAAAATTGTTAATAAATACTAATTTATTTTAATTTTTATTATGAGCTAATTAATTTGAAGATTCAGAAGTATTCTCGCATTTTCGTAAAATAAACAATAATCGATTGTGTTATCTACAGATGGCCAAAGTCAAATATGTTGCTGCCACTCATGCATGTACACAAATAAGGGCCATTTACCCAAGCGTCCAAATAATCGTTCACTTGTAAGAGTCAATACTCTAACTTACTTTGTCAGATAAGATTGTAGTCCATCAAAATGGTATCATATGTAACAATTTACCCGATAAGCCCTTACCGGGTAAGAGTCGTCACCATTGTTTACCAGGTAAAGATCTCCATCTTTGTCATCGCTCTTAATGGTAAGATTCTTAGTTCTTGTCATGTACTTCCATAAGGTAAATAACCTGATAATCGTTAACCGGATAAAGTGTTAACCAAATAAACGTTTAGTAAACAGTTCTCAAGTCAGATGAAATGATTGTAATCTTGAGGTACATTTAACTGTGTTTGAATTATGTGTTACTATAACTGTTCAACTAATCTGAATAAATAACGTATTTTTCACTCAACACAAGCACACTCAGCTTTGTCAGCACTTTCAAAGATAATCTGACAAGACATTCTTACAAAAACATTGATTTTGAATTTGATATATGAAATTGACGTACCATATATTATTGCTTGAAAATAAATCATACCCACGTAACATACAAATACGTTGTTAGTTATATATACATACCAAATGAACGATTATACCTGTGGTCAGATGTGAATCTATTAATTTTCTCAAATGGTGGCATCATTTGACTATAATAAACGAAGTTGTGGATATTAAAAAAAATCATCGTTGGGTTGTTGATTGGTTACTTCTTTTGTATGCGAAGTCTTATGTTTGAGTCTTTTATAACAAATTTTTTTTCCAGAATTACAATAAACCTAAAATTAACACTAAAAACTAAGAAAAATAATTTAAATAGGATTTGAACCCGTAGCTAGGATGAGAGAAAAGTTGTTCAAATCAACTTTGCCAAGACAAACATGTTCATTATTATAGTTCCAACATACATACATACATACATACATACATACATACATACATACATACATACATACATACATACATACATACATACAGGGGTTCATTCAAGAGAAAACTGATTAGTTTGTGATAACTGTGAGATCCAATCTCAACCACGAATCAAGGGATAAATTAGAAAATTAATAATTATGGTAGTTTGAGTTAAAATTATAATTAGAGGGCATATTAGGTATTTTTTTTAAAACTCCTCTCTCCTCTCTCCAACCTCCAATCTCCGGCCTCCGATGAACATTAATCCAACAGGTACCAAGTAATCACAAAGATACACAATGTGATATATTGTGATACCATTGTAATACCAACTATGATACCAACTCAAACCTTAAAAACATAGATACACAATGTGATACCCATTGTAATACACAATGTGATACTCATTGTGATATACTGTGATACCGATTTCACCGGAGGCCGGAGATTGGAGGTCGGAGAGAGGAGAGAGGAGTTTTTAAAAAAATACCTAAGATGCCATCTAATTATAATTTTAACTCAAACTACCATAATTATTAATTTCTTAATTTATCCGTTGATTTGTGGTTGAGATTGGACCTTACAGTTACCGCAAACTAATCAGTTCTCATTTGATTAGGCCCTCATATATATATATATATATATAGAGAGAGAGAGAGAGAGAGAGATGAGCAATCAAATGAAAACCGTCCTCATTAGTGTAAACCAATCTCATCCATCAATTTCATAATTATTTTCACTTACTCCATGCACCAATTTTCACCATATATGAAACCGGTTTCATGATTTTTTTATATTCTATTACCAATTTCATGGCTTTATTAATATAATAACTTACGATTTTCATGAATCTTGACAGTAATAAACCAAAACACAATATAAGAAAATCCAATTTTTAATATTATAATTTAATTAAATATTTAAATGTTACCATTTATAAAAATTTCCTTTATTATGTTACCTTAATTAAGATCTATTAATAACTTCCATATTTAATAAAAAACAATGCAAATGACCAATATACCCTTAATGATTAAATTTAATTAGAAAAAAATGGAATTTTCCTATTGGTCGAAATTAGTTTACACGGTTTCTAAAAATTGCACGGTTTTCATTTGAATGTGCTCCTCTCTCTCTTTATATATATATATATATATATATATAGGCCTAATCAAATGAGAACTAATTAGTTTGTGGTAACCGTGAGATCCAATCTCAACCACAAATCAATAGATAAATTAGGAAATTTATAATTTTGGTAATTTTTAATTAAAATTTTAATGCAAGGACATTTTAGGTATTTTTTTTCTCCTCTCTCCGTATCCGGGCCTCCGTCCCCCGGCCTCCGGCCACCGTCTCTTATATGTGATTGGGTATCACATTGTGGTCGTTTGTGTGGTTGATCAGATATGTAACACAGTGGTATCACAATGCATCTTATATGTGTTTGAGTATCACACTGTGGTATCATCGAAGTACGGTGGCCGGAGGTCGGAGGACGGTGGCCGGAAGACAGGGACGGAGAGAGAAGAGTGGATAGAAAATACCTAAAATGTCCTTGCATTAAAATTTTAATTAAAAATTATCAAAATTATAAATTTCCTAATTTATCTATTGATTTGTGGTTGAGATTGGATCTCACGGTTACCACAAACTAGTCAGTTCTCCCTTGAATGAGCCCCTATATATATATATATATAGGATTGGGTTTATGTGAAACCATCATGTTTTTGTGAGACCCGTGAGACCATTTTTTTACATTTGAAACTTCACAGTAAAACAATTAAAATTAAGTAGTGGCCCGTGCCACCGTATCTTATCAACTACGTTCGTCTCTACTGTTGGTATTAATGATTCAAGCATTAACGAGGTACTTGCATTTGCATATACTTCAAACACAAAATAAATATTGTTTAACATAACAAGTCGAACACTTTAACATTATTTTCCGACTCGGTACATTCGAAAGTTCAATTAAAAATTTTGAGTCGAGCCATACAAGGATATACTTTTTTGAGTTGAAAATATAATCAAAATATCGAGCTCGAGCATAAAAACAAGTTAACCAATCTCAAATTTGAAACCATAAACGAGTTTATAAAATATGAATTTAAAGTCATAATATATAACTTAAGTCAAACTGAAACTTGATATTATATTTTCCTAATCAAACCTAAGAGGCCGTTTACCAAAAGCTTATCGGATAAGCACTTACTGACAAT